TACGTTTTCCCCTGATTTTGTGATAATTCCTTATCACGCAAGTGCTAAATGCGTGACACATTTATGATCTCGCATGTGTTTCTGCAAAATGCGTTTCATCCAATATCACTTTGAAGTGATGCGTGACGGTTGGTAACTATGGCATAGAACTGCCGGGCCCTAGGTAAGGTAAAAATGCATCTGATCGGACATAGAGACAGAGCCTCTAGTGGGGCCTACTCAGGCGAAACTCTGAATGCTTATACATTCAGAGGTTTTTTTTATAACAGATACAGTACGGGACGGCATTAACGCTCAGAAATATCTAAAAAATATTTTGTTTAAAAAATTAAAGAATATTGAGAACAAACTATGGTCAAGTCATGTTATCGTTTAGGGCCTATTAAGCATTTCATGAATCTATTATATATTATAATATTGACAACATCGATAGAACACATAGGTGGAATTGTGCCCAACCTGTTGTGAAAATGTACTAAATACTCTGTAGTGACGTGAAAACACTTGCAAAAATAGTACTCGCTGCTTATAACTTTGGCTCGAATTCAACCCTGACCACCAGGTGCAAGCTCGGTGGTCAAAAGGCATGATGCCAGGCTAGTGATCTGGAGAACGTGGGTTCGAGTTCCACTGGAGAACAACTTGTAAATATTTTTTGCAAGTGTTTTCACACGCACTGAGTATTCAGTACATTTTCACGACAGGTTGGACAAAATTACACATATACCGGTAGGCCCCCAACTTTAAAATACCACAAATACAAACGTGCGTGACGATATTTTATTGCTTTAGAAATGTGATTTCAAAAAGTGTATTAGTGAATCACGCACTGAGTATCCAATACATTTTCAAGACAGGTTGGGCATAATTGATTCTCCTGACGCAAATCCAGGTATTGTCTATGCCATCACGATGATAACAATTACCAGTCAATAATAGAACAGTCATCGACCTACTTGCAGTGAATTGAATCTAAAATGTATTCATGAAGTTATGATGATCTGAAGTGTTTGAAAACGTACACAATAATAGTTGAACCAACTTAAAAATACCACAAACACAAATGTGCGTGACGATTGTATTGCTTTAGAAATGTGATTTCAAAAAGTATATTAGTCCATCGTATACGTAAGGGCTTGTATTGTGTTTTTTTTTTTTACTTGCAGCGTTTGGGAAATAGGTAATAGGTAAATTGTAATGAATATAATCAATAACTATAGCCTCTAAAACCTAATATTATTGAAGGGTCCTTTTAAATTTTGAATAGGATTTTATAGGAAGTTATATTTTTAGATCATTATACATATTGAACGAGCCCCCAATAGCCCCGGGCCCCAGTGCTGTGCACTCACTCACTGCACTGCCCATACCTACGCCACTGGACCTGAGTATTATTAGTGGTTACATAACGTTTGCTATGCACTGTATCATGCGCTATAGAAGTGGAAGACCATAATGTATTGGGAATGTTCCTCTCTCTCTGGTAGGGCCTACAGTACAATCAGTTCAAAAGTGTAAGGTATAGGATAGTGTGGATTTTTAAACATTTTTCTAATGGTAATGTTCAAAATAAGTGTCAAGGAAAGTAAGTATGATTGTTGGAATAAATGGTCAACATTTTATTTTGAATTCTCACCCTGACCTTCGCCTGGGCGAAGTGGGCGAAGGTCTGGATCCGCGTCTAATTAGCATGAAATTGTGTAAGCCAGGACCCATAGTATTTTGTTACGTTTCTTCACAGAGAGGGTGGGGGGGGGCGAACCCCCTCCCTCTATCCACCACTTTGATTAGAATCAAATATAGAATTTAAGCTACCAAAAACTACACATCCAAATCAAGTCTATGTTATATTAGGCCTGTATTGAAAAAAAATGTAAATTCAAAAATTCGGCCAAATTCGGCCAAATATAGTTTGGCCGTGACTTTTCAAACGTTACGGCCAGGCAAATTTTTATACGGCCAGATTTGATGAATCTGGCCGTCAAAAAGGCCAAATGGCAACCCTGCTTCCCTCCAGCTTGCTTGGCTCTAGTAGAATAGTATGGAACGTTTTTAGTGCCTTCAAGTCCACGGAATTTGAAGGAGTGCTAAGAATTAGTTGCAAAATGGATTTGAATTGAACAAACCCTCAGTGGTGGGCCCCCACTTTTTGGCCAAAAATATATAATGTCTGGAGATTTTTGTATGATCGAAAATGCAAAAAAAGAAGGAGGGAAGAAGGTGGAGAAGGATGGGAAAGAGAATGTTTATCCAGTACCCGACCGAGTTACATTTTCTGGAAATTCATATTGGCGGATCTGGGGGAGGGGGTAAATGGTCCTTACCCCTCCCCTGGGCAACAAAAAAAGGGCAAAAAGAAAAGAATTCTAGACCTACCTTTTCAGTACCCATGAGCTGATTTCTTGCAACGCATGCAACTACTCATTTGTTTTGTATGTATACACACATAAAATAAAAAATGAGAAAAATTTACCTGACCTATTTCAAGAGCGGAAAACCTTGAATTTTGAAGAGCTTTAAAAGTCATTAAAAGACATTTTAGAAGTCAGGTAAGCTCATCTCCCGCCATCTAGAAATCGAAATTTTCCCGGGGGAACCCAGACCCCCTATATCTTTGGAGTTCATTGATTAATTGAATCATTTTCAAGGGAGGGGGGGACCTTGAATTTTGAAGAATTTAAAAGTCATTAAAAGACACCACAGAAGTCGGGAAAGCTCTTTTCCCGCCACCTAGGAATCAAAATTTTCCCGGGGAAGAACCACAGGACCCCCCCCCCCCTTTTTGGGATTTATCGATTCATGGAAAAACTACGAATGCAGCTTATTCAATCTTTTTTGTGTATGTATACACACATAAGGCCTAATTACTGTAATAACAATGGGAAAAAGTATCTGACCGTTTTCAAGAGTGGAAAACCTTGAATTTTGAAGAACTTCAAAATTCAAGGTGTTCCCCTCTTGAAAATTTTATAATGAATCAATGAACCCATAGAAAAGGAGGTTCGAGTTCTTCCCGGGAAAATGTTGATTTCTAAATGGTGGACAATGAGATTTCCCGACTTCTGAAGTATTTTTTAATTACTTTAATTTAAAAGACACCTCAGAAGTTGGGAAAGCTCATTTCCCGCCTTCTTGGAATCAAAATTTTCCTGGGGAACCCCCGGACCCTCCTTTCTTTTTGGGATTCATCTCATGGAAAAAATCGTATGCAACTACTCGATTTTTTTTAAAAATGTATGTATACACACATAACAGGCCTATTTACCATAATGAGAAAGTTTACCTTACCGTTTTCATGAGGGGGAAAACCTTGAATTTTGAAGAACAAAGTCATTAGACACCTAGCTCAAAAGTCGAGAAAGGTCATTTCCCGCCATCTAGAAATCAAAATTTTCCAGGGAGAGGAATGTTGACCCCACCACCTAGATTTGATTCCAGATCTGCATGATTCATATTCCCATTCATCTTATAAGCAGTGGCGTAACAGGCGGGGGGCCAGGGGGCAGACTGTCCCCCCTGACGGTTTTTACCGGGCTGAACAAGCCGTCGTACCGGGCTGGGTAAGGAGAGAAAAGAAAGAGGGGAGAGGGATGGAAAGAGAAAGAAGGGGAAAAAGAAAGGAAAAAGGAAAAGAAAAAGAGAAGAGAAAAATAAAGACCAGAATAAAAAGGAAGATATAATTAACAGATATCACAATACCCCGGCCTGCAACCCCTTCTCCACTTCAAAAAGTGTCCATATCGCATTTGATCTAAGCCGCCAGGTATTCTCCGCAGTGGCGTAACCACCGGGGGACAAGGGGAAAAATCCATCTGTGGAAAATCTTTCCCTATTGAATGCCCTTTTCACCCGGGAAAGTGCCTGAAAATCTCAAATTTTAAATCGCATATTTTGTTGAAGTAGGCCAATTTCCTCTAAAAAATTGCACATTTTAGGGAGTTTTGATCAATTCCGACGAAATTAGAATTAAAAAAACAAACCTTTTGGCGCGCTTCGCGCGCATTTTTTAATGTTAAAGCTTCTGCTTGCTCTCCTTTGCCTTCTAAGTTATAACACATAGTCCCAAACTCAAGAAAGAAAATTTAAGATAGATCGTTTTACCTAAAAGAAGGGCTTCAATGTGTAATGATGTTGAATGAATATGTTTGTAATAAATAAAGCCATAAGGAAAATGCTTATATTCAGTTTAAAAAAAAACCAGTGTGGCCATATAACATAAGAGCATTTCTTGTTGAGGTAGGCCAATTTCCTCTAAAAATTGCACATTTAGGGAGTTTTGATCAATTCCGACGGAATTAGAATTAAAAACACAAAAATTTTGCATTTGTTAGGGTTGAACCCTGTGCTTGCCCTCCTTTGCCTTCCAAGTTATTTTAAAACATAATAGTCAAAAAATTGAAAAAGAAAATTTAAGATAGATCGTTTTACCTAAAAGAAGGGCCTCAATGTGTTATGATGGTGAACGAATAGGCGGAAAAGTTGAACACAGTTGAAATCCCATCCCTACAAAAGTTATAAAATTCTTTTTAGCATACAAGAATTGTTTTCTGCTAAAATGGTAAGAACAGATGTTATGATAAATTTGAATATAAATAATAAAATTGATAATCATGATAAAAATAATAAAATAAATATATAATTTAGTTTATAAAATGTTCATAGATATAGACCTACTACTACTACTACTACCACTACTACCACTACTACTACTAAATAATAATAATAATAATAATAATAATAATAATAATAATAATATGTTATTATTAATATAATAATACTAATAATAAATGATAAATAACCAAATATTCGCGAATTCCAAAAGATACCGTAATCAAAAAGTATATATCTTTATAGTTTATTATTATGTAAATGAGTGTTTAACTCTAATCGCAATACATAAAAATTATTATGTGTTTGTTTATTGGTATATTATTTAAGTTATAGGTCATATAAATCAGTATACACTGTCCACACTGGTGACTCACCATTTTTATGATTGCAAGTGAGTTACAAGCTAGGAGAACACAGTTAGGCCTATAAATCTCATCGTTACTTGTAGGTAACTACTTGCATTTAAGGAGCTTTCTGCTAAAAAGGTAATATTGAATATATCCATAATATATATAGGCCTACTAAGGAATATATAGAAATATTCGTGAGAAATAAAAGATATTATTTTTCGTTATATTCGTCAACTATGGTATTTCATCTGTTTACATACCGTACTCGCGCGAAAGCGACCGGGCGCTTAAGCTTAAAATATTGTTTTGCCCTTTTGAGGGGCACTTTCAAACGAGGCGCTTCAAACTGGGCACTTATGAAAACAGAGTGGAAATTGAGGGGCGCTTATGGAAATATACATATATAAAAAAATTGAGGGGTTCTTCTGGAAACTTGGGTAATTTTTGAATGAAAAAAAAAATTATATAAGGACATCCAAAGATTACGAATGGTTCTGTTGCAGTCGTCTAGAGAGCATGGCTCGCGTGACAGGAATTCTGTGAGTTTCAACAGCAGATGAAATTAGTGGTGGTGGTGGTGTATAAGCTTGTTGGCCATCTACCGATTGTGATTAGCAGGATCATTGCAGGGATTCTTGCAAACTCACATGAAAACGTGCTAAAAGTGCAAATTGTCGAGAAAAGAAAAAGAGAAGTAGACAAAATGTAAGAAGAGGAAAGTTGGAAAGATAAGGTCCAGATAGGCCTATGTCAATTTTGAAATTGACATAAGAAAATGTGAATCCATTCCGCAGCTCAAATCATGCCAACCACAGTCTCAGGATTAGTTAGATTATCGTTTGCTAAAAAATATCAATCACAAGATATTGTTAAAAAAATTAATAGACACCGAGGGACTCTTATTCAAACGGGGTGCTTAAGACAATGTTCATGATTAAGGGGCGCTTATTCAACGGGGCACTTATTCGAGCGAGTACGGTATGCTGTTGAACTACGTGCACAAGTGGATAAATAATAATTGTGCATAGCCCTTCAGCGCCCTTTATTCAGTTGTATGAAAAATGTCTCTGGAGGGATTCGAACCTGCAATCTCTCGCTATCAAGATGAGTATCATACCCATTAGACCAAAGGGTACACGCGCAAATCTAACCCTCGAGCAACTTCTCTCATCATACAACTGACTGGAACGCTCACAAATAGTGGAGCTATGGTAAAAATAAATAAGCTTATAGGTCGCAGCTTGATGAAAAGCATAGTCAATGATATTCAAATTACGTTTGCGAGCACCGTAAACACGATATTTAACAAATGGATAAAAAATAATAAGTGCTAAGATGAACAATCGCGATCATAGCCCTTCAACGAATAGTTCCTTTATTTAGTTGTATGAAAAATGGTGTTTCTTACAGGATTCCAACCTGCAACCTCTCGTTATTAAGGCGAGTATCATCACCGAGACCTACAGGACATCGTGCAGATCTACGGTAACCACCAGGGCACCTTCTCTCATAAAATTGACTGAAACGCACAATGGAGCTTTGGTTGGTATAAAAACCAATGTTG